CATTGATAAAGATGTTAAACAGGACCGGCCCAAAACCGAGTCTTGGGGAACACGACTTGTGACTGGTCGCCAACTGGATTTAGTTCCATTCACCACAACTCTCTGTGCTTGGCCATCCAGCCAGTTTTTGATCCAGCAAAGTGTATGCCCGTCCAAGCCATGCCCAGCCAGCTTCTCCAGGAGGATGCTGTGGGAGACGGTGACAAAGGCCTTTCTAAAGTCCAGGTAGGCAAAGTCCACAGCCCTCCCCTCATCCACCAAGCAGGTCACCTCGTCATAAAAGGAGATAAGGTTAGTCACGCAGGACCTACCCTTCCTGAACTCATGCTGACTGGGCCTGATTGCTTGGTTGTTCTGCATGTGCCGTGTGATGGCACTCAGGATGATTTGTTCCATCACCTTCCCTGGCACTGAGGTCAGACTGACAGCTCTGTAGTTCCCTGGGTCTTCCTTCTGGCCCTTCTTGTAGATGGGCTTCAAGTTTTCAATACTCCAGTCAACTGGGATCTCCCCAGTTAGCCAGCACTGCTGGTAACAACTCACATAATAGCAGATCAGTCTCTGAAGTCCTCATACCCAAGAGTTAGGTGCTCTTCCATCTTCCCCCATCACCCTGTACCGGGGCTCCAGTCCAGTTTCTCATACATGCTCAGTGCCACCTCTGACTAATGCCCTGGGTAAAAGGAACTACAAAGCACAGACACAGTCCGTATCAAGATATTGGCAGGGCCAGGAGCTCTTGAAAATTCTGTCATCAGGTTTTTCAGCTCGTATGTGAGCATGCCCCCAGCTCTGCGTCTTCTGCAGGGAGATTCTGCCCTTAATTCTGGCTTTACTGCAACATCCTCAAGGTGAAAACAGTGTAAATTGTGCTGCACCATTAATACACAAGAGCTGTAAGTCCAACACACCTCTCTTTGGTTAAGGTCTCAAATAAGCTTTATTTCAATAAAATTTAGCAGGACTAACACAGCAATTCAGGACTAACACAACCTGTACAGAAACTGTTTTACTGACTAACAGAAAAAAAACAAAAAGGATTTAAAATGCTCCAGTGAAAACAGTCTGAGTCCTTGCTGTGTCCCTGCAAGGGCCATCCCCAGATAACATCCAAACCACTCTTACCTCTGTTTCTTTCAGCATCAGATCCAGCTGTGTGATGTGGGCTTTCACCTGGCTCTCCTTACTGATGAGGTACTCAATATCTTTTGAAAGCTTCTCCTGTTAAAATAAAACCACAAGCTGGCAGAATAAAGGTATCCCACCCAAACTGGCAATCAGTGCAGGTAGGTCATCAAGCCAGTGCTTGGTTTATCTAGTTACAAGGGCAACAGCCCACCACCAGTTATGAACAGCCACCCTGCAGAGAGCTGCTCCATGCCCTGTGATGACTGTGTGGCGACATCAGGCCACAGCTGTGAGCAGGATGACAGTACAACCTTGACGGACAAGAGATAACAGCCTCAGCTGGCTCATTCCTCTCCAGCCACAGGAGTCACTCTCTCTTAGGCTAGGAACACAAGGCTTCAGGACATTACTAAAACTTACAGAAAAGCCTTGTTAGTTATTAACTCATTTGTAGTAAGATTTCCCAGAAAAATGAGTGGTTCAAAGCACAGACTTGTAAGTGTCTCTGCACTTCCTTAGTTGCAAGAGTTAACAGCTGTACAGGAAAAGCCTTGCTATCAGGCAAGGAGGCCAAAGAGCACAGAGCAAGCTGGGTTGATCTTTCTTTAAAAAAAAAATAAAAATGTTTTCCTGTGAGCAAGAGAGAAAGAAAATGAAAGACAGGAGGTAGAAGCAATCATTCTTTAATAACAAAGCAATGTTTGCAAGTCTTCCCTGTTGTACTATGCTGAGGGAATTAACAGCTATGTAACTTCAAAAACATACAAGGTCCCAACTGATATTTCAGATGCAAATGTCTCAGGGGTGCTTCTAAAGTATCGGCTAACCCAAGCCACAAGGACAATTAACTGAACATCCAGGTGTAGAAGCTAGATTATAAAGTATTAAATGTTTAAACCTTCTGCACTGGTCAGTACTGCTGCACAGTTGGCTAAAATAAGGTGGAAACACTTTTAAGGCACTATGTTTCAAGCCTCATAGAAAACATAGTTTCATTTCTCAGACATGCACTATGTCACACTAGTACGTACATTAACAGATGTTGTGCAACTGCACATCTCATGACTAGCTCACTGTCTTCTAAACACTAGCTTCCGGCCAGAGGGAGTTTGCCCTTGCACCAGAAGTTCAGTACTCTTCCCCTTCTTAAGGCCACATCCAATAATATTTACTTTACCTTAAGGGTTTTGTAGGCAGTGCTCATGGTTGTTACTCTGTGGTTTGCATGACTTCCACCCAGTTTACACAGATGACATACGGGCCTTCTGCAGAGTTCACAATACATGTTTACCCTCTCCATTTCATGTTCTGGACACATCAAAATCTTTAAAAAAAAAAAAAAAGGGCAAGCAGAGAGAATGCAGGTGTACTTCCAAAAACTGAGGTGCTCAACAAATTAAACACAATAATCCAACAGCCGTGCCCAATTCCATGTGGGTTTTTTTCTATTCGGTTTATCTTCCACCTTCTATATATTCCATGATAGTGAAAGCGAGAAGATGAACACAGAGTTTCCCAAGGTATACAGTGAGTAAACCTCTAGCAACATCTGTGTACACATCACTCAGCCTCCATACTGCAATCAACCTTTCTGCTGATCCTTGAAGTTGTTTGCAGGCCTCACACTCCCTACACTCCTGTTCAGAGCTGTAGCACACTCGCCCTGCTAATTTTAACTCTGTCCCTGCCAGCATGTCAGCTCTCTCTTAAAATGGCTACAAACCTTTTCTGAAAGCAAGAGTTGACATAATATTGTAATGATTTAAGTCTAAGCTTAGGATCAGTCCAAGGATCAGTCACATAGTCATAGCTCTTGGAGCAACAAGTGAAATGCAGCCACCACCACCAGTCACAGTCAGTTTAAAGACAAAAGGCTCCAGTGTTTCAATTCTTCTGTCTGACTCCAGTTACAAGTTGTCTGTGCTGAGTACTAATTCCAGCATCAGCTTCAACAGCACTGCGAAAAAGCTGGTGATGGCTAAAAATAATCTTTCAAAAACCAAACATGTTGAAATAACTGCTCGAAGAAGAAAAAAATGCTGCTCAACTCCAAGTTCACGGAACCAATAAAACCATCTAAAAGGGGAAGGGAACAGGGGCATTTAAAAGAAAAAACCCTTTGCCTCATTCCAGAGCACTGAAAGACAACGTTTGAGTCCATCCACTCCATGTTACTGAAGAGCTCTTGAGAAAGCTTTTCAGTTTCACATCAAGGAGAAGAACAAGACAGCAGTGCCAACAGTCAGTCCTTAAATGTGTAATCTTTTAACACACACAGGCACACAAAACCAGAAGGACAGGAAAGGGCATAAAAATAGAACATTTTGAGCTGCATATATATGGACATACTAGGCTAAAATTGCAGACCATCTCTGAAACTAACTCTCAAGCCCCGAATGTTATTTTAGGCTATGGTAAAAAGGCCAAAGACACCAGTCTTGCTAGCACCTTGGTACATAAAACTGTCATTAACCAGAACATGCAATAAGATAGCCTGTTGTCATTGACTGCTAGATGATTTAAAAAAAAAAATTAAAAGGAAGCCTTTAGGAAAATCTGTGCAGGCAGATAGCTCCAAAAACTGCAGTCATGCTATTGGTCTGTAGAAGCACATTTTCCACAGCAGTGCACAGTCACTCCTAAGAGAAACCACATATTTTTACTTATCTTCTCATATAAGCAAGAATTACAGCCTGCAAACTAGAGACAGAAGAGGTCAGTAGATTACCTTGTGTAGTTCTCTGAAAATTCAAGAACAATCAGTCCAGTATCTGCTTCTCCCATCCCCACCACACACGTTACAAAGTGCTCTCCAGTCTGGTTGTAAATCAAAGTGATGACTAGGAACATTTAGGAGACCAGCAAATACTCCATGTATTCAGTTCAGGTCTTAACAATGCAATGCAATGAAAAATACACTTTTCTGTTTTTATATAAAGCTCAAAACAGTCCTTCAAAAAGTCTCTATGAGAGCACAGTAAAGATCAGTTTACTGTAGTGGGGAAACTTTTCTACAAGAGATGTGTCTATAGCTGATTTAACTATACTATGTTTTTATTTTTTTTTATTTTTTTAAACTGTGCTTCTGTCTTCACATAAAATTTTGAAAAGCTAAATCTCACACACACACACACACACAGGATACATTAAGGCCAGAATGATGTTAACCACTTATTCCCCTTTTGCCCTGCTTCAACTACTGACGTCTAAATTCAAATTCAGTCTGCATGTAGTATAACCACATATGGTACTTTTAACAGTACACACATATCGCAAAGTGCCTTTGGTATTTTTAAGTAACAGCACTGAAGCAGTGAGGAGTTAGATACCATAGAAGCAAAGTTTTTAAGGAGCTGTAGAGTATTCTAGATCAAGAGCTGGAAGACAGCATGCAAACTTTAGCCTTACTCCTTTATCCAATAATAGGACATTTCACAAAGATAGCTGTGTATAAGTGCTTTTTAAAGCACATCAAGCACATGCTTGCTTGTAACTGGAAATCAACGTGTAAGATTCAAGAAAAACAGCACTACGTGGACTGCTTACTGCCAGCTTGCTAACTTCTGAGGCGCAGATTTTTCCAGCCTCAGAAAGAAGGTTCATCACCAGTCAAGAGCTTCTTATGCATTGCCTATCAATCAGATCTAAATAATTTAATCAAAATTAACCAGGACTCCTTGAACATCAGCATTTCTTCTATATGTGGGACCTCCAGCAAGGTCACCGGCCACAGGCATGCAGCAAGTATGGGTACAATGAGTCTTATTGTGGTCTCCTGTTAGAGAGATGGTAGCTGTGACAATTCTTGATGTGTAAACTTCATTTCAGTAAGGCACTGCCATGTTCTGCACCACGCTTAGTAGGAGAAACAAAGATAAAAGATAATTTGCAGTCACCCTGCAGTCACACAGCAGTGTGTAAAGTAGAAAACCTGCCAATACATTTTCCTATTCTGCTATAGCTAAAACAGTAACAGGGTGTAGTAACAACAGGGACCTGAACTCCACTTTTTGCTATTGCTGGATGCAAGGAAGGAGGACAGAAAGTAGATGATTTTGATGGATCAAGTTCAGGCACAAAACATCCACAGGGAATGAGCTTTAAAGGGGCAGAGGAGGAGGCCAGTTGTGTTTTTTAAGTTTACTGGACACAGGCATCTTCCTTGACCTGACTTCCAGAGAAAAGCATTGCCATTCTAGATGTTCAAGAACATTAAGCCTTCCAAAAAGGAGAAAAAAGATCCAAATCACAAAACCACAATCCATTCCCCAAAGTAAAAAAAAAAAAATCCTTATTTTTAGGATCCCCTTGAAAGACATTCTCAATATCCCCTTCAAAAACTACCACTTCACCATCAACAAGAATGATGGTTCATACAGTAAGTAACAGCAATAGTCAATAAATCAACAATGGTCCTAAAACCAACTACCATTGTATAGATATGTCTGAGGCTATATGTGAATGCTGCAACCCAAATTCTGTATGATACCGTACACTTACCTTGGGTCGGAAGTTGGTGGTAGGTCCTACATATTCATGCTGGGCTTTCAGAGTTCCCCAGGGGTGGTGTATTTTGAAACATTCATTGCAATAGCTTGCACTGCAGTCCATGCAGCTCTTTGTGGATTCTTGAGGTGGAGGTTTGCAGTAATCGCACATAATAGCAATGGCTGCCCTGGCTACCTGTCTGTACCTTTCCACTATGGTTTCCAAAGTGAAGTTGCGAAATAAGCCATTGATGCCACGTTCTCCAAGATCAATATCCCGCTGGCAACCCGGACAAGGAAACAGACTTGATCTGGAAGTCAATGAATTGCGTTTTCTGCCTGTGTAGACACCAAATCCTGATTTAGGAGGAGCATAAACAGAATAGGTTTAGATTTTAAAGGGAGAAGCACAGGGATGTATGAACCAACTCCAAACTATTGTAGCACATTGTCCAAACCAGTACAATACCAATTCATATGCAGTATGCCAAGCCAAAGAGAATACATTTGTCATGACACGGTAATGTAATGTCAGAGCCCAGGGGACATTACAAACTGCTACACTAAAACTTAATTCTGTGCTCAGATTAATTTAGATGTTCCAATCCTATCTTCTTCTAGTTTTGGACGCACTCAAGCTGCAGTCTTTTGAAACATTCATCACAAAACCTTCTGGAAAACAGTTGGTTTTAGACTAACTGACTACCCATATAGAGAGCAACATCTCCATAACACACTGAAATGAAACATGCATTATTCCTAGAGTGAGACTAGCTGTTCCCAGACAAATATAGCCAACCTCAAGCTCCCTTAAGTTTGTTTTAGTTGAGTTAAACTTATCTGGCTTATCCCAAGAGGCATCATAATAAAGAGGAAAACAAGTGAACTAGATGTTAGCAGTATCAAATCTCAGACAAATAACTCACTGTCGCAGTAGGGACGGACAAAGCGACAAGACAACAAGTGTTGGCGCAGCACAAAAAGCCTTTATTGTTTTTCTTCCTCATCTATTTATACTCTCTCTCCCCAGATGTGTCTTCTTCTCATTGGTTCAAAATTACTATGTTTCCTTTTTATTGGATAATATTTTCACAGTTCATCACAACTCAGCACTTCCGCCAAAGGAACACATACCCCTCAGTTTCCTGTCAGCACTTTCAACAAACTTGTTTACCTTGCGGCTCTTCTTGTTCCTGTTTATTCTCTCGAGGGTAGACTGGAATCTTCTCAAGGTCAAAGTCACTCTGTCCAAGGGTCTCAGTCCAGCTGAGATCCCCCACAAATTACTCAAAATAAGCAGAGGCTGCCCTGGCCCTTGCTGAATGGCCTTAAAAAAGGAATGCTGCTAAGTAAGACCTACACACCAAAGGGGATGCTGACATGGTTATGTCTGAGATTTCTCTACCCTGACCTGGGGAACCACAGATCTGCATGGCTACACAGGGTATGTCTATCTCTTTTAATTTCAAAAGCAGACAGCAGAGAAGGTGCACTCTTACCAAACAGCTACAATCAAATTTCCCCTCCTCTACAAAATACAGTGATCAAAGGATCAAGTAAAGCAGCAAGCCTAAGGAGCCTCTGGAGCCTATTCAAGAGGATGGCTCACACAGACCCAAAAGCTTTTTATAGAGCAACGTTCTTAAGGCTACCAAACAGGGAGTGCATCCTCATGTCTCACTCAAGAATTCACAGGGCACAACTATCAAAAAGAGTCCTTTTTGTATTTCTGAAACAGGTTAAGCCAGTGTTTAGGCTTAATAGGTATCCCCTCAGCTTCCCTTTACAAAGAAACAAAAAAATATCCTCTGTAGCTAAAGCGTGGTTTCAAGATCTCTCTGAGATAACTGCACGTTGATGTAACTAACAAATTTGTAAATGGAGGTATGACTCAAAACAGAATTCTTAGTGTGGAAATTGGTTCTTCAGAAAGGTAAATGTGTTCTCATGTGTATTTAGTCAGTATGTTCCCATCAGAAATGTTGATGCTTTAATTTCTTTTTTGAAGCTCTGCTTTGATGCTATCCAAAAGACGGTTGCCTTGTGCCATGCTCCTGTGGCTGCTTCACCCAACAATGCAAAACCTCCCTTTCTATCACGCCCTTTCCAGTCTCTTTAAGAAAACCAAACAACATTTCCATAAGGAACTAGTTCCATTAAAAATACCTGAAACGTGTCCCATCATAGATATGCATGACTGTCAGCTAAGTAGCCACAACCAGAGCAGGAATAATTGTGTACAAACTGGCAACCTCAAACTCAGCTGGCCTTGTGCCTTTCCATAGGTTCTAAGCAGAAGAGCCAGGCTGTATTTATGGGAATGGGTTACACAAGGCACTGGTATACAACTCTCTCATTAAGGGAAGCAGAGATTTTTTTGGTCTTATTTTTTTTTAGTACTTACTTGAAGTGAATTTATTACCCAAACTGCATGTCCTGCAGTACTTGTAATTTGGCATACACAGCAACACACACACGCAACATGTAGCAACAGCAGTGAAACACAAACGGTATTCCCAATGTATGCTCCAAGCCAGCACTGCATGCAGGAACACAGAAAGATCTTCTACACAGACTTCTACAATGACCTAAAAAGATTATGATTTTGCATGCAGTGCCATGCAGTCAACAGATACAGAAGGGGGATCTGAGGTACTTACATTTGCTAAAAAAAAAAAAAAATAATGATACAGGGACTGCCTACAAGCAGTATGCTGTAGCAGAGAGCAAGCAATAACAAAGCAAGGTAACAAGAAAAAAAATGTGGTGCAGTGGACAAGTTTAAAAATACAATCTGAAATTCGTATCAGTAGCATGCTTTTGAAGTCTCACCCAAGTGGCTCAAATGTGGAAGGGGTGTTTGTTTTAACTCAAAAGTGAGTTCAGCCGCATCCAAATGGAGGCCTTTCATTCTGCCCACGGTAGACTGAAATGTGGCCACCATCACGAGGCATGCTCTGTGAAGACTGGTGACACTGCTTACAGAAAGCAATCCAGTACTAAGCAAGTCCTGTGCACTTGCAGATGTCTCATGCCTTTTTGCTGACAGAACTCCAAGAGCTTAGGGTTAGTTTTGCTCCCCTATTTTAAACCCTGGAAGTTTACTTGCTAAGCTTGGCATGCTCTGCCACTTCGGTATTTAAAGTATGGAAACATTCTCTTTTTGGCTAGTAAGTGGTAAACTTAACATGCAGTAAAAATTAGCCTACTTTCTGCTTAGAGGATTTATGCACTCGTATATTAAAAAGCAAGCACTGATGAAGTGATGAATTACTTTGAGTACTATCTTTCCTATCTGTCTTGTGTATAGTTTGCTAAAACAGAGTTCTGCTTACATAAAAAAAAAACAAACAAAAAAAAACCTCCAAAAAGCAGAGCACCAAATCCCACAGATTTTGTAGTCAGAAGTGCAGCTGAGAGAAACTCAAGTTATCCCCATATTCTCTTTTACACTGCCAATTTGGTTTACAACAAACAGTATGTACTTTGTGAAATATCAGGAATCATCACAAGAAATTTTCCACCGTGGTCTGTAAAGAGACTGCTCCACATGCAATGAGTAGCCCAATTAGTAACTAAAAAATTAGCACCACACATGCTTATGCTCAGACTCCAAACTTACTATTATAACACAGATTGCAAAGACTCAAGTCAAAGAGCAATCTTAAGTATGTCTTTTAAAGACAATGTTTAAAGGTCCTCTTTCCAAGAAGCTGATGGTTTGCAAAGCAATAAGACATCTTAAAGACAAAACTGTGTTTTCCAAGTAAAGTGTATCACCAGAATTCTATGTTTATGGAAGACATGGAAGTTAAATGTGTGACAGTTTAAAAAAATAAAATATTTTAAAAGTCAACTGGATCCTCATTTTTTTTTTTCTTAAATATAGATGTATGTTGCCACTCCCCCAACTCATTTAATGTTTTTGCATGGATTTTTAGGAAGAACTAAAATTAATTAAAAAAAACAAACATGAGAGAAGTCAGTAGCTGCAAAATGTAATTTCCAGATACTTTAATCTTCCCCAAATCATAGAATGGTTTCAGTTGGAAGGAACCTTAAAGACCATCCATGTCCAAGCAAGTAAGGACAACTTTCCAAGAGCTCTGAACAGTGTCCTATGATATCTTTGTTTTATGACACTTTTGCTCTTCAGTTGAGTCAATTTAAACTCCCTCTTCTGATTATCTGCTTTGTCCTCCACTGAGTGTGAAATTCATATTTATGTTTAGCTCAGTTCATGTCTTTCTTGAAGGACACAATATTTCTATTGCTCATGCGCCTGCCAATATTATGGCCACATGGAGCTTTCAGGGTTTTTTCCTGGTTTTGACAGAGCATCAAAAAAAGAAGTATTTATGTTAAGAAGCCCACACAGTGGCCAAGATACTCAGACTAGCTCAGTTTTGGAAATTATATGTACTTAAGACAAAGAGACACTGGCTATCTTTCAACCTGACGGTGTCAATAAGCACACCAAATACTGCAAGTGCATCAAGGTAAATTGTGCATCATATATTCATGTGCCATGCTAAATCGCCACTCAAATTACCATGGTGTAGATTTCCATCTGCTTCTTTATCAAATTAAGCAGGCTTAGATACAATGAAGAAGTGGTAATACCTTCAATTTAAAAGCAACAGCCAGCTATGACCTCTCAATATTACAAAGATCAACCTAATAATACACTTCACTACCAGTAAGAAAGCAGTTTTACTTAAACTCGAGCATGTAAACTCTTGAAAATTAGAAAGCTTGGGGCAGGGAGTGACTCCTGCTTTTTGCTTTAAAGGGAAGAGAGAATGTGCATTTTTGCACCCATCAATGTATGTTCAGTCATGCATAAATACAAGAAGAAAAATATAATCCCAACCTTAACTGAATTCCAGTCCAGTTGACCTTTAAGTCAGTGTTAAACAGAATGAAAAGCTTTCCTTATAGAAGTCCTTTGCTGTACCTTTGCTTACTGCAAAAGCCATTTCATGGACTTGACCACTAACAAAAAGCTATATGCTAACCAACAATATTTAATTCAAGATCTAAATGCTAGACTATCTCTAGCCAATACAAAAGTGAAGCATTTCTACCTCTCCACCCAAAAGACCTCCTCTGTGAAGCTGTGAACAATGAAGAGAAAGCTGTTTAGGAAAAAAAAGCACAAGAAGATATACCATTGGTTTACAATGGTTCAAATTAAAAGCATCAACTACTTTCTCTCCCATGGCTGTTAAAACTATTGCACGGCTGAAAGACAAGAATGTTTAATTTCCTATCACATGAAACAGCTGCAGTGTTTAGGCAGAACAGAGAAAGGGAGAAAGAAGAGACTGGGGAAAAAGGGGAGAATGTGCAGGGAGAGGTATTTCAGACATTCAGTTTCTGCATCATTCATCAGTGCTGCACAAGTGTCAACAAAACCACATTACACGCTTTAGTCTAATTACACCAACATTGTAATTACACTAAATTTACAGAAAACGGATTAGAGATAATAATTTTCATTTTATATGCAACAATTCTTTAATCAAAAATTATTTTATATATAACATATACAGTCGGGGGTTTTTCAGACCAACACATTAGCTTTAAATAATATGCACTCCCTTTCAAATGAAAAATAATAGAGTTCCAGACTTTTTGTATTAAGATAAATTGTACTTGTAAATGCAAGCTGTGTGCACAACAAATACAGAATGTAGACCAGTTCCTTCTAGCATCTTGAGAATTTAAATGCCAAAATCATTTTAAATAGATGATACTCGTTATGGAGATAGGAAGGATTCTTTAAGTGAGGAAAAAAAAACAAACCTCAGCAGGAGAAAGGTGCTGTATACATTTTCAAATATCACAATAATGTTTTGACAGTGACATGTCCTGCATGAGGCTACCAGAAATTCTAGTGGTTTTTTGTAATACATGTGAGGCCCCACTTTGGCTGTTTCCTTATATGTTATCTCTCTTACGGGGCTGTTTTATTACAAATTCCCCTAAGGATCACAAAACAAATTTGGCAAGGCAGTGCACAGTGTGGGTACTAATGCAAGACAAGAATTGTTGCAAATGCAAGTTGCAAGCTGGTTGAACGTTACAGGTACCAACTGTTTGAGAGCGAATGTCACACCCATCATAGCAAAGGAGCTATAACACCCATAACATCAGAAGCAAAGACAGTATAACCTGAATGTCCAAACATATTATTTAAAGCTCCCATTTCCATATGCTTTTCATTTTGCAAATTTGAGCTATCATTTCTTTGTGATCCGCATCTGCCCAACACTCTGGGGGAACTCCATTATTTCCAAGTATATCTTGCTACCGATCAAACAAATACGAAGTCTTTCAGAAAGCATTAATCTCCTTCCACTAGCAAGCCAGATAAGGAGATAGTGCACCTAACTTCCCCTAAATTTGCTAGGGTGGTGACAGACAACTGTGGATTTAAAGACTACAACCTCTGCAACAACTTGTGTGTATGGGGGGCAGAAGTACCAAGAATGGGTCTTTCTTGCCCTGTCATTAAGGGTATAATGAAGCAGTAAACAAAGCTAAACAAGCTAAACAAACTAAGTAAACAAGCTAAACCTTGTAAGAAGGGCAGCCAACAACTATGGCACCACTGCAAACTGAACTCTGCAAATCTAGTCATAATTAAATGCCAGGTTCCCATGGGAGCTCGGCCTCCTCCATGCACAAGCCGAGCTGTGCCAGGGCACCACATGCAGGCTGTGCCATGCTAGATCTCTACGAAGGGCAGCCAACAACTATGGCACCACTGCAAACTGAACTCTGCAAATCTAGTCATAATTAAATGCCAGGTTCCCATGGGAGCTCGGCCTCCTCCATGCACAAGCCGAGCTGTGCCAGGGCACCACATGCAGGCTGTGCCATGCTAGATCTCTACTGAGGACAGCCTGGAGGGCAGCTTTTGATGGCAGATAAAGGATTACCTCCTCAGTTACGCTGCTGAAGGCAGCATGGGGGGTGTCACGGCCTGCTTTAAAAAGTGAGCTCTTTTATCCCTGCACAGCGACAGAGGGATACAAATCACTCAGGATAAGGGTGTAAGCAGTATTTTCACTAAATAAGATACATGCCTTGAAAAACACTGGAAAAACATCACCCTTAGGTGATGGAATACCAACAAGAAACCAAAATATGGCTCCAAAATTACCGGAACACAGTGCAGCTTAGCAACACTATAACAATTTGATTAGCAGAACTGAGAAAACTGAACTTAATACTGTCAAAATCAAAATCAAAACCCAAAACCAAAACCGCCAGCTACAGCCCACTGCAGTCGCACATGCTGGAAAAGAGGAAAAGAGAACGAGAAAATGAGAAAAAGGAGAGAAAAGAAATAAATATTTATCAGAGAAGTAGAAAAGGAGAAAGATAGTCACCACCTCCAAGGCCTCTGGTGTATCAGCACATGTTTAAGATGGCGGCTAGACAAGCAGTTTCTTTGTTGAGTCCAGGTTGGCAGATGGCAGGTGAACACACAGTCTCAGGCTTAAGTGGGGGTATTTAAACTCTTCCCCCACCCCCCTTGCCTGTACCAGGTGATAGGGCACACAGCAGGTCATGACACGCCCCTCACCTGGGCAAGTCTGGATATGCTCTCCAGCATGGCCATTCCTGCCACCTGGGGGTTGCTCCTGAGAATCACCTGCTTTGAGGCATTTAACCCACGCCATGCCAGGCCAGGCCCATACAGGGTGGCTGCTCCCCACATGCAGCCTGTCCCATACCACACGCTTCACAAGCCACAGTTTTCACAGGGAGTTCAGGCTGCCCATGGGGCACACACCGCTCCCCAGTCACCCAAATTGGGGCTCCAATGTCCGTATTATAAAAACATAAAGCTGATGGCAGTAGCGGAAACCCTTGACTGCTTCAGTCCACGCATACACCACCATGCCAGAACATTGTGCTTACTGAGTAAAAAAGGGAATAGACTACAGAAGAAGACAGCCACCAGTGGGGTCTATAGATTCAAACTTCATGTAACACTGATGTTAGAGAGGGATTAGAAGACAGCTGAAGTGTATGTATGTAGAGCTGAACAGTGACTATGAGACTGTGCACCTCATATCCAGAAAACAGGACTATGATGAAGACAACTAGCCACTTGGTTTGGGGATTCCCCTAAATCATGTAAGCCTCAATCAGCCAAGTTTCAGCAAACGTGGCATTCGCTTAGCAAACTGATTTGAAAAGAGTACCAGAACCAATATAATTTGAACTCTGGAAACTGGGGAGGTTGAACGCTAGTAACATGAAACTCAAGTTACAGCTTTAGAGTTTGTCACGTGCATGATTTCCAGAGCACTGCAGATTGTGGTTTTAAAGTGGGTAATTATGTTAGAAGAAAGCCTAAAAGCCAAGATGAGGTTTCTTTCAAGAAGTATAACATGCATTAATTACTTCCGATGTACCTGCATAAGAGCAGATCAACTCATCTCTGGATTACACAGATGGCTGTAAGAATCTTTCCAGTGTGGCATCACAAAGAGCATGAGAAGTCCTACAGCTACATGCTCCTTACAGCTTCGAGCAGACCACACTGAAAGAGACTGCTGGTGCAGACTTCCTATAGTCATCTGTCCTCCAATTTTGCAGCTGTGCCATGATTGTCCCCTATGGAAAATTATTTACTGTAAGCATAATGACATAGGTAGAACAAAACTATCATTTGCAAAGTCCGCAGAGGCTCAGAAGGAAGACGGAGCTACTGAATGCACGCTGGCCAAAATCTGAGAGAACCACCTGAATAGTACTAGTGACAGGCAATAAAACTGCTGAAACCTATATCTTGATGCTATTGGACACAGTGCTATCGCATCTTCTCTGAAATACAGGATTAAACAAACACAATGGTTACAAAGATTTACAGGATGCCACAAAGACAAATCTATTGTATATGAAGTAACATGTGCTGTCCTTGAAAATATTCCCATTGTTCTTGCCACAGAATGAACAAGACTTCCACTATCCCTAACTCATCTCTTCAACTGCGGCAGGAGTACTGGAAGGACATTTTACCAATGCAGATGCCATTCAGCTCAAGTCAGTCGAATACATAAAATGAGGAAAATTTGCAAAAAATTCTGATACATACCTGATCTACTAATCCTGTCAATTCTGTCCATGCTAGAAGAAGAGATTCTAATTCGAGGGCTACTCTGATTAGAGGATTCAGAGCCTCCATCAGCAAGAGAGTCTTCAAATGCAAAGAGTATTTCTTTCACACATTTGTGACAGACATTGTGCTGGCAAGGAAGAATCAGTGGATGGGTAAATAATTCCTTGCATGCTGGGCAGATAAGCTCTCTTTCGATATCCTTAATGGCAACCTTCAAGACAGAAACAGGGAAAAAAATAAGTGTAAGTGCAGAAAACATGAGCCAGCAAGACTTACTGCACAGCTGTACATCTGCATGTCACCAAAGCCTAGCTTTGTAGAATAATCGTTGCAATTTTAGCTGGTTTGAGGCACTCCTCTGGTTAGCACTGCAAACAAATCTCAACATGTATGAAAGCACCGACAACATCCATCTCAACTGAAGTGAACACTGCCACTAGGCAAACTCAGTTCATCTTTAGGTCATGCCTGCATTGCAGGGGAGGAAAGGAGTGGAGGGGAGTAGTCTTAATTCCACCCAAGGAATTAGTGAGAGAAAGCAACCATACTTCTTAATAGGAATCAGTATGTTTAACTCAGCTTGCTCGCTGGCTTTTCAAGGAGGTGAAGGGCAGAGAGAAATAAAGAAAAGAGAAACTGTCAGGCTGGTTAAACAACAAGCTTTCCTACCCTGTAATTCACATTTAAGGACTGAAACTGCCTTGACTTCATTAGGCTAACAGTTCGACTCAGGAACATTATTCATTTATTTATCTGCTGCACAAAGAGCC